TTTTTTTAATATATAAAATCATGTTTGGTATCAATTAAAATATAAATTTTAATTTTAAATCAAAGTTAACAATTAATTTTAATAACATATTTCATGAAATTTATAACTATTTAACTTTTATCAAAATTTATTAAAAAATTGATTTTAATCTCCATCAAACAGGGGAAAAATCACAATAAATTTTAATTTTCTCTTTTTTTCTCGCATTTTAACAAAATATTAACTCTCTATCAAACAAGGGTGAAATATTGCATTCTTAATACTATTTCGAAGTGTTCACGATCTAGTTTTCTATGTCATTAATGGCGTACGAAACGATCAATGGTAGCAAATGCTACGACTTGTCAAAATAGGCCGTTCAAAATTAGTATTTCGAAAATTTCGATAATATGCTAACTTTAAAAAATTTTCGACGATCGTATGCTAATCGAATTTACAAATTGTTTATGTCATCTCAAAACTTGTTTCGAAAACTATATTATAAGCATATCAAATAATCGAAACAGATATCGAAAATAGTTAAAAATGCGTTAAACGCAAATTTTAAAGGAAGACGTTTAACTCGTATTTTCTTTTAAAAAATTCAATTATTTCATTGACATTTATTATTTTTGCAATACAAATTTCTCGATGTAATTTTCATCCTTTTATCAAGAAATTTTATATGGAATATCTCATAAATTTTTTTCGAAATTTTACATCTGAAAAAGTCATATCCCATATAAATTTGCGGATACAAAATTACGTGGAAGTGTGATTTTTTTGGACGTAAATTNGCAAAATTACACGTGGATGATTTTTTTGAACGTATATCTTCGTTAGTAAAATTTCTCTCAATTTCTTTGCAAGTTCAATTATGCCCCCCTAACTTTTAACTTCTGCGTCCACCCGTGACTCAAGGGAAAGGGAAGGCTTGAATTCGCTGAGCTCTTCAAACGACCCATTAAGTATGTTGTTGTCTACTCTAGCACGAAACGTTGCTATAATATATATTTTTTCCCGCTTGAGCAACTTAAAGTTCAAAGTGCAATTAGATTGTTGCAGTGTTTGAGGCCTCTGTCGATAATTGGCCTTCCTTTGCCAAGCAATCTATTCTCCTGACTAACCAACTGTAAGGATAGCACAAAACAAGTGTGTCTATCATAAAGTATCCCTTCCTTAAGGACCAGAAGATGAGGAATGATTGTATTAGCTTGTCTTGTTGTCACATTCGAAAATATAATTAAGAGTACGCAAATTTATTATTTGAACCTTATATAAATTTATCCATTTTCATTTTCGATATGAGATCGTTGATCATTAACCTACATAGTTTTAAGTGTAATTA